GGCAGCGGTCATCCCCCGGTCAACTACAGTAGGTCATTATTCAGCCCAAGCCAATAGCCCCGAACCGCGTCTGAGCAGCCCACCCCCCAATCCATTCCGCTTAATTATTATAAATGAGGGGCGGCATAAACAGCCATCATTACAGACACTCAGTGGCATACACAAATCCACTTTAAATTGCTATTAAGTTAGGAAGCGATCTGTAATCCCAGGCGTGCGTTAGAACGGAGCAAGCAGGCTTTTCTTTTTATTAAATCTCATCGTCCCTGAGATATTTTCAAGTGTTCTCGCGCTCTGTCACGTTTCCAATTTGGAGCCAATTCGTTGATTTAATTAAAAGCCCACTTGGAAAAACGGACACTAAGTAGCCATTCCCATCTCTGGCTACGCGCGGCTATCGTCTGTGTTTTATTTATTTTTTTGGTTTATTCTTTTTTGTTTACATAAATTCAGGAAAGGCTGAACGGGGGAAACTTTCCGCTGAAAACTTTAACTTCAGCGTGTGTTCGATCCACTTTTTGCATTATCCCTTGATCCAATAGCTGGAATTTTTTACATTTGAAAAAAATTATGTCTTTTCCTTGAGCTATTTTCTTCACTGTATCAGCTCCTTGACATGGCTTCCTTTACAACACTTTAAAAAAAATACTGACACTCCTCAACCTTCTTCACTTCAGTCTGTTTTTCCCAATTTCATGTGAGACAGAAATATTTCAACATTCTTCTTTGCAAGAAAGCACCACCTTAGTCAGATTGCATGCATAGCATCCGTGAACGTCGGTTTTGAAGTCTTTCCGCACGCTAAGCTCATAAATGTACTTTGTTTGAACTGTCCTACATTTAGCTCTGACTGAATGTGTATTGTCATCCTACTCTCCAGCCAGGAGGCTTTTGCAGCCTCTAACAGGTGGTTTGCACCTGTTTGAGATTCAAAGCTCCCACCTGATCTTTCAAGCCCCTGCAGATTTGCCTTGGACCTTTTGGCTGCTTCCCTGATGAATACTCGCCTTGTCTGGTCTGATAAATCACGTGGACAGACATGTCTTGTTAGTTCTGCAGCCCCTCGATGTTAAGATGACGAATCGAACAGAGCTCTGAGATGTTCAAAGCTTGGAATAGTGTTCTGTAACCTAACCCTGTTTAAAGCTTCTGCACAGCTTCCTAACCTGCCTCTGCTTGTTTTTCTGATGCTAAGGATGAGCAATATGAAATTAAGGTTTTATCAGAATACATTCTGCTACTATTGTGATAACTCTATAAGTGATGATTAGAGTTAATCATTACTTCTTTGTCACATTAGTAATAGCCCCCAAAATACCAATGCTTCTCTTCAAACACTTTGCTATTTGTAATTCGCGTCTTTAGGACACCTAAAGGTCCCGTAAAGAACTGTGATTACACTGAAAATCTGAACCGCATTTAGTCATAATTTCAAGTTCATTGAGATTTATTTATTGATGATTTCATTGAACAAACAGTGGAAAAAAACAGTAAAACTAATAATCCCAATACAGACAGATTTGGGGATGTGAAACATTAACTTACATTTTTTATGACAACAGTAAATCTAAATTATTATCATAAAAAATATATCACTATCAATGATAAACAATGCAGTAAGTGAATGTCCCTATCGTTCTCAAACAAATCTCCTTCTCAGAACTCCTGGGTTTATACTGAGATTAAATTAGAATCATTTGTCCTCTTTTTCTTTATTTCTTAGCATTTTATTCAAGGGTATTAATGTCAAATGGGTAAAAATACAAATACATGTGAGAGTTTGTGCACTTCTTTTGAAAAAAGAAAAAATACAATCATGAATCATTTTCAAACCACTTTAATTATGCTCTGCACTGACTTGGTCTGCCATATAAAATCACAAAATTCGATGAGGTTTGTCGTCGTAACTGGAACAAATCAGAAAAATGTCAAAAGGTATGAATATTTTTTGGCCGGTTTTGTGGCTCAAAACACATCCTGAAAAATGATTGAGTCTGTCCCCCAGTTTCTGGCGTTATGAAGTGTGTCTGTGCAAGCAGTGAGGCGGCTTCTGGATGCTGCAGAGACCTGCAGTGCATCTGGTGAGCGTGCGCTGAGACGATAGAGGAGACGGGATTGAAAACAAACAAGGAGAGGATGGAGGCAGAAAGGCTGCTGCAGGAGAGATGGGAAAAGAGAGAGAGAGAGAACGGGAGCAGGAGGAAAAGATGGAGGGGGCTGGAAATGTGGAAGGAGGGAGAGATTGTAACAAGCAGGCGGCGGGTTCAGCGGCAGGGCAATGAGAGACTTCCTGGGCTCCATCACGCCCAAGGCCTGCCTCAGTCAGCTGGTGGCCGAGCAGAGATGCCTCATGTGTCAGGCTTATTAGCACTCCCCCTAGTTTGTATGCATTTGGGATTACATGCAAGTGGGTGTGTTTCCACCAGGAGAAGGTTAGTGTGTGTGAGAGCGAGAGAGAAAAAAAAAAAAAAGAAAGGGAAAGAGAGAGGACTGATGTTTAGGGATTTTTAAATGGAAAAAAATGTGGATGATCAGAAGAGCAGGTTTTTGTTTTGCTGCATAATGGTGGCGTGACACCTGCCTCGCCCGACCAAACCTCCTCTCACCTTCTCCCCGCTCCCGAGTCGGGAAGCTGTCAGTCTGCCCTCCGCTCGCGCGCCGTGAGCGATGGGCCTATCAGGAATGCCGCCATTAGCCAGCCCCCTGAGTGGTAAATAAACGATCGCGCCGGTACACTGCAGGTGTTGTCATAGCAACCCACTCTCCATTGCCGGCCCCGCCCACGTTCACTCCGAGCGGCGGAGGAGTCACCGGGAGGTCAGCGAGTCGACGCGCGGCCGCCGCCACGACACGGCGCTGTTCGACCCCCTCGCATCCCCCTCTCCCCCTTCGCCTCTTCCTGTTCCCTCAATGCTGCCAAATACGCCCCAAAACACAGACACCCCAATCCGTCTCACGCTAGCGCTCCCAAACTTCTTCAGCTCGTTTCGTTTCCAGATCCAAAATAACCCCAGACGCGGGTAGCGGCGGCAGAAGGACGCCATGAGAAAGGGGAGACTGTTTTTAAGTCATTTGGGTAATTCACTCTCCACAGCTTTTTTGGAATGTCCCTATTACAGCAGGTGTACTCTGGATGAACCCATTTCAAGTACGGGGAAGATGGACTCGGCACGCCTGACAGACTCCCGCCGCCATCGGCGCCCACTCTGCGATGCGGCAGTTGTATTAAAATGGCGGCGTTGATAATCCAAAAGACCTTTCTCGGGGAGAATTTGAGACCGGCTGCACAGATGGGCGGCGGAGATAAATAAAACTCTCTGTCACTACGGTTGGTGGAATAGTGCTGCGACGCCCCCAAGGGAGAGCAGAACTGTTTTGCTCCTCTCACTCTGATATGCCTCCACCCCACCCCCGTCCGTCTGTTTCCCTGCTTCTCCCGCTCCTTTCCAACAGGAGCCATGGCCAGCTTTCCAGACTTTCCCTCTCTTAAGTCTTGTGGGAAGCATAAAAGCCCCATTTCAGCCAAACTTTGTCCCTTCGTTAGGAACAGAGACACACTGAGGGCGGCCCAGCACACCCTGACGTCCCGGTCAGAGCTGAAAGCGATGAGGCCTGGGTGGACAATCTACTTATGTCTGTTTGTGCTCTAAAGACTCCAGAGTCTCGCGGTTTGTCACCGCCTGAACGGTTCATCCATCCTTGCTGTCCAGGAAGCGCTCATTAGCTGCAGGCCTCATTCCTCTGGCTGCAGAGAGGTGTCAAGTCCCGCAGATCGCCTAAACCTCTGACACGGAGCGCTCCGTCATGTCAGAGTCTGTTTGTGCTTCTGCGAGTGGAAGCAGAGCCATCGAATGTTCACCGACCGACACCGATACGTTCTCATCTTCGTGTTTCGTCTCCCGCAGCCAGTTTCAATCCGCCTGAGAGCAGACGGACGATGGGCCGGCCGCTCCCCGCCTCTGCCCCGAGTTCAGGTCCGACTGCTTTGATCAGATGATCAAAGGTGATCAATAAATCTCAAGGACGTTTCTGTTAACAACTCTGGTTGTTCATGGACCCTTAAATTATTTCATTTATTTGATATTTTCAAATGCATTTTTATTTAATATTTAATGCCTCCACCTGCCTTCAGTTGGAAATACTTTTAATATTTTTTGACAAAAACTTTGTTGCATCAAGTCAAACTGAATTGAAAAATATCTTAAATATTTGCAACTTATGTAGAATTTTATGTTTTCACTTAAACATTTTTTTCTTCTATTAAAATGTATTACTTATTAAATTTCACAAATTCACTTAAATTATAAATCCTTGGATTAAATATTCAATTAATTACATTTTTCTTTTCTTTTTTTCTATCAATGTGGAAAAAGAAAATATTTCCTAAAATGTTCATTTGCCGCATTGTATTTTAATTTAATATACATTTTTAATTATTTAGTTATTATTTTTTTTCTGTTTGTAGATAAAACTTCAAGTTTGACTGTTTTGCTTTGTTTTATTTTCAAAAAGACACATCAAGTCTTTCCAGGGAAAACGTCTCGACTTAATTAGTCTGGTGAAAGGAGGCCAGCTGTGTTTATGGCTTTTGAGCTGTTAAAAAAAAAAAGCTGTTTTATTTTAGACTCTTACTATCCTGATTGCCTTGTTTACTGTTTTGCCCAGTTTTTAATGAAAACCCCTCCAGGCTAATGAGCCCCAGTGTGTATTAAAATATTGTGAACGGCTGTTTGTGGGATGGGATGCAGTTTCTTGCTTGTCCTTCGCTTGTAATTGACTTCATGCAGAAGGAAAACAATCTCAGCCTCATAGTTTTTGCGGTTTCAAGGCCCGTTTTAATTTCCTCGACCTCGCACGCGCAGCGTAATTGGGGATCAAATCATGCAAACGGCTTCTGAAATTGGGCGAAAATTATCGATATTTGTGCTCGGAATTTATTTTTGTTTGCTATTCCCGGACGCCCTTTGAGATTTCATTATTCGTTCCCTTCTTGTGCTCAGGAGTACAACATCCACGGCTGGTGGGTCGGTGAACTGAACGGCACCGTGGGCATCGTCCCCAAGGACTTCCTGCAGCCCGCCTACATCCTCTGAGATCCAACAGGTACCCAGGCACTCTCTTATCATGAGCATTATGGACCATTACAGTGGCCTAATACACAGAAACAGTTCCCCTGGTACTCATCCAGATTGCCACCGAGGTATATTCAGTCGTTGACCTGCCGTTTATGGCATCTGCTGGCTGGGACAAGTACTGCACAAGGCAATCGGAGAGCCGTAATGGCCAGTGCTTGTGAATAAATATGTGCGACGAAAGCCTGATTACAGCGACGGTTGTCCTATTTAAGAAAATGATTTTGTTAGATAGGCGCAGCTTAAAATGGACTCTGAATTATTAATGCGTGTTTTACTGATTTCTTTCAAATTTATTTTTCCGTTTCCTCCACAGCGCGCTCTCTTCGACACATCCAGGCGTGACTCCACCGACGGATACGGACACAATTTCTTTCCCGCTTTTCATCATGTAGATCCTGCGTGTTTGTGCAGGATCTACTGTCCACCGTAGATCACATTTATGTGATGTGGAAACTAGAACTGTCATTCTAGACGTATTCATCCAGAAATGAGCGATGCACACTGAAAGTCACTGTTTACGTAAGCTGGTATTTTTGTCAAATATCAGAATAAGCAACATATGTAACCATACGGCCTTTAGATATTTTGATTTCTTAACTTTTAACATTAAAGAGTTATGTGCATGTTAAATACTATTAATAAATCATCAAATGAAAATACTCACATTTGGGTTTTCTTTGTTTTCATTCACATTCAATTTAGGCCATAAGGTGGCAGCACTGTTCTGATAATTAAAATCCAGGAGAAGGGCAATCTTGGAAAAAAAAAAAAAATTATATATATATATATATATATATATATATATATATATATATATATATATATATATATATATATATATAATGTAGTATTTATTATCTACATAATGGAGAAACGTCTGACATTTCAAATTGGGTTTCGATTTATCTCACGTCTGAATCCAGTGATGGAACATTTAGCAGAATGAGTACAGTGTGGAATAAAACACTTTCCCACATCAGGTCTTCTATGAAAGCAGAAACCAAGCAATCAAGTCAGAGAATTCGTCTGTAGGTCTTGTGCCAAAGCATAAATCTGCAAATTGTTAGAAAACAAAACCTGCTGCGTACTTTGGAACCAGAACCACTTATCCAGTCAACATGAAGGACAGTGTGTCCCTGAGGACTCGGATAGATAAACACTGATTTAGAGGGAAATGTCCGCAGCTAAACACAGACTTTTCATGTGATGCATCTCCAGTGGGTAAATCTGGAAAGACCTAGAAATGGCTCAACCTGACTGAACCAGAGATCTGCTGAGAAGAAAAGAATAAAATCACATGAGACGGGTTTGCCTAGCTCATAAAAGCATACCCAAGAGGAGTCAATGTTGTAATAAACTGCCAAAACGGCTTAGACAAGATATTCAGCATGAATTTTCTATTTTAGACATTAAATGTTTTGGCAGTTTTACTTTTGAGCACTAGGTGGCAGCATTGTTACAATAACGTCAATTTCTGAGAAAGACTCGGTGGAGCTTATTAATTAGAGAAAGGAAATAGTGTGAAAGAAACTTATTTATTGAAATAAACTTGGAATTCATACATGAATAAAATCACTCTGGTGGTTAATAACCCCTTTATATCCACATTCTCTTTTATTTCACTTCAAAACAAATAAAATAAAACCACCTGCAGGTCCCTTTAAAATGCAGCAAAAATCACAGGAATGAGAAGCAGTAAGTAGTGTGAGAACAGATCTCAGATCAAATCAACAGGTTTTTGACCAGTTGCACTTCAGACTCACATATTCAGGGGTCATACATAAATGTTTAAAATAAAAGGCAAATATGGGAGGAAATTACTGCAACCTCATATCCAGTAAATGTGATGTATCTAAGTGTTATTAGAGTGCAGATGAATTTAAATACAACCTGAACATGGCTTTTCGGGTAAACACGGGTGAACTGCAGACGTAAACAAGTTTACCAGCATCCCTGAAGCAGATCCCCAGCATGAATTGCACCCTTAAAAAACTCCTGAACCTTCTTAACTTGACTGCATCCATTTAGGAGGGGATTAAATCTTACTACACTAATAGTTTAATAAATATACTGGTGGCAGAGATAATGGGATGACACCAAATCTTTCATTAAAACAAACATTTTCTGGACGTTACTTTTTTGAAGTCTGATTTTCTACTTTGTAATAGAGGACATTTTTTCTGGTTGTTTTATAGCTTTGAAATGTGAGGAGGAGCTGGTCTTTTTTTTTTCCATTGTTTTTTTTTTTTTTTGGCTACTGACAAACGAGTCTGATTTATAAACATGAGACTCGAATTAAGGGAAGGGGGAAAAAAAAATCCAAATATTTGTATTTCTTCCCCCAAAAGCCATGTTTAAATGATCATTTTTGGGATCCTGATAACAAAAGTAATAAGCAATTCCTGCCAAACGTAAACAGGTTCTCTTCTTCAAATGGTTCGATGAATGTGAAGCCTCTTTATTGGTTAATATCTTTATTTTGAGAAATACCTAAATAAAGACCCATTTAAAAACGACGCCCCCTTCATGTGGAACTTCAAACTAAAAATCAACAAAAACAATCCAGCATATTTTAAACACTTCATCTCATTCCAGTGTATTTCCTTCATTCAAATTGTGTTTAAGATGTTGACGGCAAATAATAGGAATTAAGCAGCATCTTTTCGTGAACTCTGAACATTTAGTGCCCTCTGGTGGTCAAGATAAATGAATCAGATTGATCAAACTGATGAAAAACGTGTTTTTTTCTTAGTTCCATTTATCTGATCGGCTATTTTTTAAAATTGATCTTATGTTAATATGCCCTTTCTTGACCGTGATAAAACAGTGTGAAAGTGATTTATGCCTTACAGAAGTATTCATACCCCTTGTACTTTTGTCACAACTGCAAACTTAAATGTATAAAACGTATTTTATTGGGATTTAAGGTGGTAGACCAACACAAAGTTGCGCATAATTGTAAATTGTACAGTTTTAAAACAACTTTTAAAGTTCCGAATAAAGATGCGTACAACACTTTTTAGGCGTTTGTGAAACGCAGCGCTGGTCTACTACATAATCCCAATAAAATATGCTGAAGTTTCTGTTTGCAGCACACAAAAATGTAAATATGAAAAAGTTTAAAGAGCATAAATCCTATTGCAAGGCACTGTGTATTTAGGTTTCATGTAACAGAATATCTCTTTGTTTGTGCCTTGTTAATGTTTCTTTGGCAGAAGAGACTTAAAGACCCAAGGTTCTGGCTCAGTGATGGTGCAGCAGCCAGAGTACGTTTAGCTCTACTGATGTACCTACGCCTACTCGGCCTCCTCTGATCCCTCCAAAGGTATCGGGTCCGGATCTTCCCGTGTTGTGAATTCACCTTCATCTACTCCAGACTGACAGCTGTTCTCCAAGATGCTAAAGTCACAGTTTTCAGTCAGATCTCCGTCAGAAGCAGCTGGTTTAGGCTCTGCAGTTGTGTACTGCCGGTCGTTATCCTCCCAGTCCTGAGCGCCCGCTTTGTTCTCCTTAAATCCGTCGATGTACAAAATGTTCCCACTGGAGCCCTCCAGCTCTGACCGGTCCTTGACCTCGTCCGGAGATGTCTTCCCCTGCACGGAGTCGTCCATCTCCTCGCCCAGACTTTCCTCCTCGCTGCACCGGATGATGCTCTCATTGGAGGACAGCAGTGACCGGCTGTCCTCGTCGCTCTCGCCTCTGTCCTCGTTCTCAGTTTCCTCTTGGTGGACTTGTCGCCGTGAGTCACTGAGATGAACTCCTGACTCAAGGGCCGCCTCCGATTCATCGTCTCGTTTGCAGCCTGTGTCGATTTCTGCGAGGCGACCCTGAGACGTCTCAGAGAGGCTTTCAGCAACTTTCACCTTATTATTGTCCGTCGCAGGATCCGCACTAATTTCAGACTCTGAGTTTTTTCTTTCTTCGGTTTTGCCTTCGAAGACGCCGTCCCCTTCGCAGACGTCTCCAAAGCCCGTCTCCATGGGTGAGTGCACCTCCACGGGAGTCTGAATCACGCAGCTGTGCTCTGAGGGGCTGAGGCTGCCCGAGTCGTCCAGGATCTCACCCACATAGAAGGAGGCGTGCGTGGAGCCGGCGTCCTCCACAATAGCCTCCAGCCGGTCGCTCCTCTGGGAGATTCTTATCGAGGAGTTTCCCTTGCGATGCGTTTCCTCTGGCTTCTGCTCACAGAGCTCCAATATGTCTTCCAGAGGGTCTGGATCTCCTCCGGCTGCTGGTTTAGAGTTGAGCGCTGAGTTCGGTTGCAGGGAAGGCAGGTGAGGAGCCGGACTGTGGAGAGGGAACAAGAAAGGCGCCTTACTTTGCATGTGATGACATAAGTAAAATAAAAATCAACCATCGAGCTCAGCTCAACCCTAACACTACAAGTCATCTCCAGACCTTTCCATGGACTCATAAGAGACGGTGAAACCGGGCTCCCTGATGGAATCCTCCTGCTGAGCCTGAGCCAGTCCCCGGTTGGACGAGGCGTAGGTGAGGATGGCGTCCGTCACGGAGTACGGCGTCAGTCCCTGAACGCAGTCCTGGATGTGACCGACCGGCAGCTGGGTCTGCAGGAAGAGGTGGAGCTGGCTGTCCGACAGACACACGGTGGTGTGCACCACTCTGAAACCCAGACAGACTGTCCACAAAACCGGACCGCGCAGAACAAACGTTGTTCAGACAGAACGGGAAACTGACTTGTCCAGGAAGACTTGGAGTCCTCTCCGTCTTTTCTCCAGAAAGTCCTCATTGTTGAAGGAGAAGAAGGATTTTCCAGGAAGATCTGGGACTGGACTAAAGGATAAAAACAAGGTCTTAATTATTTTCTATTTCGTCTCAAATGACTGACACAATGGCATTTAATACTGAGACATTAAGATGTTTCTAAACATGTTAATAATAACTAGTCTGTCTGAGACTTAAAGCCACATTCGGCATCATTTTACGTCAGTTGAGTGAAGTCTCAATGTGTTTTGGTTTTGGAAAGAAGAACAGCATTTTAGATTTTAAATGTCCTACAAAGTACTTTATAAGGACTTTATTTATATAAAAACAATCAAAACGCTGCAGTAAAATCAAACAACAGAAATTGATTCAATGCAATTTACAAACCAATCAACATCCAGTTATGCATGAGCAATTCAATACCAATACAACCATAGAAATAAAACAAACTGGCCATTCTTCAAAAACAAATCTCCAAAGCTCACTGGTAGCGACCAAAAGCAACATCTCTAGATCACTTGGTCTCCACAGAAACCAGGAGACACTGTCTGCATGTCAGTGTGCCTGGGAAACGAGCCAGGAAACAGATTTTTCTGTTCGCTAAACTCTAGCAGGTCTTTGGCTCGCTCAGATCCGACCAAGACTCATTTCTGGCAGCAAAAAAATAAAAAAAAAAATTGGCTTGAGAAACAAAAAAAATAGGCTATAAATATGTGAGAAAGCAAATAATTCCAATTGTTAACCACGGTGGTGGATCTGTGATGCTGTGGGACTGTGTCTCTTCCACAGGCCACTGGAGCTGTTTCAGATTTAGATTTCTGTATGATAAAACTGTTATTCTTGCCATCATTTACCAATGCTATAACCACAGAGCGTCTGACTTACACCAAGCCCGCATTCTTCTGCAGCTTCTTCCTGAGCCACTCAAACTCGCTGTAGCGCCGCCGAACGCAGGACGTCTTGGCCGTGAAGGCTTTACTGTTGGTCTGAGAGCGGAACAGAGGAGGGTGAAACCGTGAAGAACCACTTCGTACTCTGTGAAATCACACCAGGCCGCTGGGAAATGTTCTGTGATTGTTATGATGCAAACACCTGGGTTTCCTTCAAATCTCACCAGCCGTGGTCTAAAAACCTTCATCGGATCTTTGAACAAATTTAGACTCATGCTGTTGGTTGATGCGTTTGTGGATCCAAAATGTTGAGATTTTGGTTTTTGATTAATAAACATGGAAAAATGGAACTAGATTTTTACTTGCAAATCAAAAGTAAGCTGATTGGTTCATCTCAGCTAAAAATAACAATCGAATAACATTTCCCATATATCTTTATAGTTACTATATTTATATTAGTTACTCTGCTGCATAGAAATGACAGAATATGTAAACTGATTCATGCTTAACAAGAAAATATGTAGATAACTTTACTCTAAGAATAAATAACCTTAAGAACATGGAATAAATAAACATGCATCATTAATTAAACCTGATTGAACTGTGACAGAGCTTGCAGCTGGTGAAAAGCTCCATTAAATGTCAGATCGGTTCCGGTAACATGTGACACAGTCCACCGTGATGTTTGATTCAACAGATTCAACTTTAACCCGTGATAGTTATTCACTTTATCAAAGTGAATAACTGCTTCTTCTTCTTCCTTCTTTATTTTTACATTTTTAAAGAGCTGCAGTCATGACTAGTTCCCAATCCATCCAATACGCCTCTGACACATTAGTTAAGCAGCCATTGCTCAATATCAATCTTTGAAGTGTTGTAAGGTAATTTCCAAACTATGCACAGTCTACAATATTAAAACGGAAAGAAAACATTTAAATTCTAATATAAGAAGAAGTGGACACCCCTTTCCAATCCGCCTAAAGACCAGACCAGCCCGTCTCAGACTCTGCCGGCCTCAGTTAGCAGGTTGGATTTTAAAGTTACAGATAAACAGCTTGAAAGAGCTCCTGCAAGAGACGCTGAACAGAAAGTATCACCTAAACAGAAAGTTATCGCCTCCTGGCAGCCGTCAGGCCTGGTGGAAGAGGTGTGATCAGGTAGCAGTTTTATTTTGTTGTGGATGTGAAGTTTGTCCAAATGTGTTTGTTCATTCTTTGACTCTGCTTCGTTTGGTCAGGAAGTCGTTCCTCCAGGAATTTACCGGCGTTTTAAGCTGCGCCTGACGGTTGGTGGTTACCGTATTAACCGGTAACAGACAGCTCCTCCCCTTTCGTTGCCGTCTGTGACTGTGGTACGTATCGGAGTCGGCTCTGTTTCCTTTACTCTATTTTAACATATATTTTAGACAAAGTTGATAACATACACCGTTTCACGAGTAATTTTGCTGTTTCAATTTCTTTTTAATTGTTGTCACTCTTAATGGCGTCCATGCTAACTTCTATTAACTGCTGACAACTGCTCATTGGGACATTAATAGTTTGCTTGGGGTTATTTATTTTATTTTATTAATGTATAGGAGCAGACGCTTCTGAATCGAAGTTGGCCACCAACTTGATTTCCTGTTTGTTAGGTATGTTTTCATTTTTGATACAACATAATGTTTCAGTTATTAATTGTGTGAGAAGTGTGAAAAACAACAACAACAAACAACTTGATTTCCCAAAAGCTAATAAACAGCAAATCCAACTGATCGGTAAAATCAACTTACTACCTTGAGGTGACATGTATTGTGAGTTGAACTAAACTAAATTGAACTGAGGCGACGCTTGACCCGAACTGGTCATCAAAGGGGCAACAAATCTACAACAGGCTGGCTGTTACTCAATCTGAGTATTTACCCAAGTAATCTGACTTGACTAATGACTCAAGTAACATCGACTGAGTTGCTACAACGGCTCAGTCAAAGTCCAGACCTCCGGGCTCTAGAGAGAGCTGTGTAGCAGTGAAGGTTTGCAAACATCAATGAACTGAAGCCGCTTCTGAAAGAAAGATGGACCTAAATCAGCCCAACATAACCTCACAATATGAGGAAGTCAGACAGGAAGTCACTACTGAGAGCGACCGTGGCAGTTGGATCGTGATCAATTTTTTTTTTCCATGAATGTATCGACAGCTGAGCAAAGTTTACCTTTTTGGATCATGATCAGCTGAGGTCAAACCTCTGAATCAGGCAATTTCCTTCCACAGAACTTTCCCACAACCCTTCTGTGAATCATTTAAACCACTGAACAACACATCAAAAACATTCGACCAAACAAATTGACGCGGGATCACGTGGGGTCACACGATGTCGGCCAATTTCACGAGTCGACACCCACGCCGCACATTCATCTGCGAGAGGCTTAGATGCCGACAAAGCATTTTTCAACGCCAGCCCGCTGCCTTGACAACGTCAACAACATCTGACTCACGCAAAATGTTAGGAAAAAAATTTGCTGCACAAACGGCATAAAAATCAAACCGTGGGGGATTTTAACCTGCAGAAATTTCTGGTGTTTGTAGATTTTAGTCGTTAAAAAAACTGAGTAGATGTAAAAGTCTTCCGAAGTATTACTGGGCGTGTTTTTTATGTGTTCATGGCATGTTTTACAAGCTTTTCAAACTATCGCTGCAGAAGTCAATTGATTCTGAAAGTGTTACAATGAGAATCATTAAACAGTAGACGATATTTAGAGCGAAACAGGCCCGTCACAATGACAAATTTTGCTGGATGGTAAATTGTCCCAGGTCCCATTGCGAGAAACGATGACATTGTCCCACAGATGACTGCTTTCTCATCTCTGAAAGGCAACTCATCGGTGTTAATACTCACATGTAGGAATATTTTGTAGTCGACGTATGAATTCCAAGAACCCTCGTTCTGAATGCGGGGATCTTGGACTCGCACTGCAACAAACTCCTTCAAAACAAAAACAGAAGACATGATATTTATGATTGAAGAAAACCACAATGAAGTTTTCATCTGCGAGACAGATAAAGATCAAAGAACAGCATGTGACTCCTGCAAAAAAAAAAAAAAAAAAAAGTTCCCCAAATACTCTCACAAAATGTTTATTGCTGTCTGGCACGCCACTGGATGTTTATTATTTAAAGGCTTCCTGCAGTCCTGCACATAAATGACCAAAAGGAGAACTGGTGGCAAAGATTTCCTCTGCGGAGGAGAAAGTAGGAAGTTACTCACATCGTCTTCGTGATTACTGATCATCCTACCGAGAACTGCACTGCAAACAGAAGGCGAGACAGACAGGTTTAGAGATAGTGTGCATCTTCAGTGCTGCTGTTTTAAGTTGGTGAGTCATCATCCAAAGGAGAAGCTGGTCAGTTGGAATCAGCTGAGTCACTAGTGTGCACTCGTGTGCTTCTTCATTCAGATTATTCGTATGCTGCAGCAACCACAACTCTGGACTCATGGTGGTTTGCTCAGCCTACTGAAAATTGTTGAAAACAAAAATGTTTTTTTTGTAAAATGTAAATATTGGCGTGATCTCAATATGCAGGATCAATCTAGCTGCAAATATTTCCAATCAGTTTAAAACGCGAAGGGGTGATTTAAAAAAAACAAACAAAAAAAAAACTTTATGCCCTCTTTAATTTTCCACTCACAGGTCATTCTGTGACTTTTCTCAAAGTGTATACAGTGTGGTTTATTGATTACTCCGTCAGCATATATGTGAGCATGTTGCCAATGTGGATCTTTAAAAAAGGAGTAATTTATTTATTTATTATTATTTTTACCTTAAAAAAATCGACTAATTTGAGATGTTAGCAGTACTAGAGCTTCACTATATGGTGCCAATTGCCATTGCTATATACCACAAGTGTCAAACTCCAATCCTCAAAGGCCGCTGTCCTGCAGTTTTTAGATGTGCCACAGGTACAAAACACAGGAATGAAATGGCTTAATTACCTCCTCCTTGTGTAGGGTTAGGGTTTCTCCAGAGCCTTGCTAATGACCTAATCATTCCTTTCAGGTGTGGTGCAGCTGCGACACATCTAAACGTTTATACAAAACAGCAAACATAGAATGGCTGATGAAATACCAAATGAGCTCATATTCTATACATTTAGCCTGTTCATTGGAGTTCCCCGGTCTTTAATACCCAAAGCTGACACAGCTTTCAGACACTGAGCTCAGAAATTTCAATAATAATTCTATTCTCATGATTTTCTTTTCCACTCCAGGTACACGTGTTTTTCAGAGCATGCTCTGTTTTGGAGATCCCCCAGATCTCATAAATAAAGACATTTTGTTTCATTAAGTATTTTTATTTTTTAATTCAAGTTAGAGAAGTGCGACTCAAAAATAAGATTCCAGTAAATAAAACTCCAAAGTTCTCCAGATCATGTCACAAAACAGAAACAGTAAAATGCCTCCGAGCTGTCTGTCCACTAATACTTCATCTGGTAACTCTGAGGGGATCTGCTCCACAACCCACCGCAAATTGAAACTAGTGGAAACTCAGTAAGTTATAGAGTCTGTCGGTGGTTTTAAAAAAAATGCTCAGCCAAGAACCGTGACCAAAACAAAGCAGCCATAACTTCACCAACGAGTCTTGTTTTTCTGTTTTCAGGCCTCATTGATTGTGCTTGTAATCAAGATGGCCAAAGTTTCAGCTAACCGACAGCTACTTACTTTCACAAGGTCTCCCGTGGCTTCTTCTTTCCTATCAGGTCCGCTGTTGTCAACACCGCCCCGCTTATCAATATCTGTGTTTGATGAGAGAACAAAACCGGAGGGCTGAGCCTTGTTCTCGGTTTCTTTCTCCATTTCGCAAGTCACAAGCACCGTTACGTCGTTACGTTCGCCGCGTTAGGGAGGTTACACAAGTACGCTCGACCGAGGGCGGGGCTTGCGTCGGCCATATTGTGAGTGGCACTTTTTATGGGTTTGCTCCGGCCAATTTTCCACGAGAGCCAGATTTGTAGAGATGATAGTTCAAAGTTTTGAGGTGTAATTTGAACTCTGATTTTAATCTTCTCCTCAAATGTCTGCTATGCTCCCGGGTGTTCATGATTTTATTTGTTCAACAGTGTTTGTTCACAGATCAGCTTGATTTAGAAAGACAACGTGATTCCACTGGATTTTATGCACCAGTATTAGAGTAAAGAATAGAAACTCATCAATCTCCAGATTATTAGTTATATTTATATAACTACTACTAATAATACATATATATAATGTGACTTTGAAATCAAAAGTGAAAAGAGTCTTAGAGGTAGGACCATTTTACATTAATAATCTCAAAAAGTAAAGACTAAGCCACCTTGGATATAATAGCTACGTGTTATGTATGAGACGGAGAATGGGCTTCCATAATAACAATAACGACTCAATACAAAAGCTTGAAAGAATAATTATCGGAGACTTCTTTTGAAGTGCAAAAATATCAAACCTCTGCACTGTGTTTCATATGCACGGTCAGCATCATGTTGAACTTTGATTGTCCCAGTTGGTGAGAAATCTACATTAAACTGAATTCTGGCTTTTACAGACGTTCCTCTTGTGTCATTTTTGACCATCTTTGGAAATTACAACTCCTCTGTACAGAGAACGCACCATAAGTAAAAACAAGTATCAATAAAACATTTAAACATCGACAATAACCGGTATGTTCAAATTTTAAATTTTATTTATTTATCTTTTCCACATATTTTTCTTATTTTTTGGCTCTTTTCTTTACTCCTATCGCCCATGTGGATCGTCCAGCGGAAGGCCGCCGTGTCCGTGCAGCCCGCCGCAGCAACAGATCTACAGAACATCTGGATGTGACGGAGGCGGCGCCAGCTCTGCGGGTGGGCGAATCCGCGTGCGTTAACAGTCGGTGAACCTCGGCTCGCGCCTTGCTCTGAACAAAACCATTTTTTTTCTTCTCTTTTTCCATTCCAGACGGAGGGGCGGAAACAGCAGCACGCTCTGTTGTGGTCAAGCTAGCGGCTCGGCGTTTCCACAACAAATCAACACAGGCAGCAGTCATTTTTCTTCCTTCCTTCTGCATTATTGTAACACAGCTGCAGTCAAGTTGCGGGACTTTTAAACCGCCGCTTAAATCCAAGCTAATCGGTGAGTTCTCCTCCTTTTGTTGCCTCATTGGACGCTGCGCCTCCGCCGGGGCTTTTTTTTGTATTCCTCCGCCTGCTCGGGTCGCTTGTGGGAATTGGTCGTTCCCCCCCTCACGTTTGCTTGGGAAACAAGTTATCAGCCGCTGCGTGGCGCCGCGTTGAGGTGAAAGCTCTCTTTACAGCCAGCGGCCATCGATAGGAAATGCTTCATGTAGCGGCTGCCGCGAAAAGCAACATGGAGGAGACAACAGGGGGAGAGAGGGGCGGGGAAGGGGGTCTGTTGGCTTTTTGTTCAGCGAGGATTTCTCCCTCTGCTGAACCCTCTGAAGGGGCTGTGGGTGTCCTGGGGGTGGGATCCGAACCACAAGAGGCGATTCTCGTGGTAATCCATAAATAACAATGGTTGCGTGCTCGGGATGTTCTCATGGACGCTCCAGCAGGCTTTGTGGCGGAGCCGCCAGGTGTTGCACGCCTCCCACCGCTGACGGTGGAAGTCAGTGAGAGGCTGGGAGTCAGACCACATTATCCACTTCTCTATCAACATGGAACACGCGTGCATGCGTATGGAAGAAGATTAGGGCCACTAAGTTAAAAAAAAAAAAAACACACAAAAACACACAAAAAGTAAATCTGATGTGGTCCTCCAATCGGCTCTCTTATTCCACGACTTGCATCTCTGACGTTGGTCGCTCCCAGGTTCTCATCTGCACTGGAATATAATGATTAAAGTGAGAATTGTAAGCAGTGAAGTAACTCTGAGAACTAAAAAGAGGATTTTGGGAATTGAAAGAGAATCTTGAGAAAATGATTTTTTGTTTTGTTTTTTTTCCCCTCTGTCCTCTGTGTTTGGCCAGGCACCTGTCAGTCCCCAGGTCTACCTGATGAGCATGAGCCAGACTCCAGAGCCTTCAAGCGATGGCGCCACCGTTCCAGAAGGTTTGTTTTTCTTTTTACACCCCATTTCTTCCTCTTCTGCATTTGATTGCAGAAGAGGAAGAATTGTAAAAAGATGCGTTCTTTGCCGTGTCTGTGCCGCAGCAGCCACATGTATCTGATTTTTTAAAAAAAAATTTAAAGTGACTATTTTAACTTTTATCTCAACACCTTGGCAATGTTTCAGTTTTGAGTTGGGGAAACAAGAACATCTATACGTATGCTGTGTTTCCGACAACCCTGTCTGTGATCTGGCAGAGGCTACAATAACAACACCCGAGAAGGAGAAGAAGGCGGATGAAGTGGTAGAGGAAGAAGAGGAGGAGGAAGAGTACGTGGTGGAAAAAGTCCTGAATCGGCGGGTGGTGAAAGGCAAGGTGGAGTACCTTCTCAAGTGGAAAGGGTTCTCCAAGTAAGTACAAATGAGCGTTTTGTCTTCGATTTAGATGTAAGGCAAAAAAACCATTTGCTTAAGTTTAGTAGGCACTCGTGGGAAAAGCATTTAGTGATTACAGTATGTTAAGAAATATGAGGTTGTAATGAGTGAATTTTCTATTCAATATCCCATGCATGTGAGCGTGTTATGGCATTTAAACCTTGGCCATGTATCAACATATTGAGTTACAAAAAAAAAAGTTTTCTAACTGCACCTTGGAGTTGAGCCTCGAGGTGCAGTGAGAATAAAACTGAGACTAAATTTGCAACGAGGAAGGAGATTGATTGAAGATTGACTGTAAGAGACTCTTGTGGTGATGGAATGACATTTCCGGGTCACGGCTCTTAAGATGTTTAGAAACAAACCGGCTCCAAGCTGTTTTTTTTCTTCTTTTTTTTTCCCTAGAACCAGCTGCTGCGCCGGTTCTGAACCAACACTACAACAACTTTCTTGAAATAACATTCAAGCCAAAAAAATAAATAAAAAAATCAGTTTTGCTTCTTTAAATAAATAAGCAATCACGTTTTAGTTGTTAATCTGAAGCTCTGACAGATACGTCGTTTATGTAAAACATGGGAATGTCAAAAAAAACAGGATGTAACAAATTTTTTTAAAAGTGATTTGAAAGATCAAGCACAAAAAATACATATATGTGTCTCCAAGCCGACAACTGTATTCCTGCTCATGTCCTTAATTCGGCAGTGAGGATAACACTTGGGAACCAGAAGAAAACCTGGACTGTCCGGATCTGATAGCAGAATATCTGCAGAAACAGAAATCGGCGAACGAGGGGAAGAGAAAAGCGCCTGGAGACGCCGAAGGAGATGAAAGCAAATCAAAGAAGAAAAAGGATGACGTGAGTGGTTAACTGTTCTACTTTGATTTAGCGGTATTAATATAATATTGGTTTTAGTGAATTTAATAAAAAAGTCCAAAAGATGTTGGTGCATATAAATCGAGGCCAAACATTGAAAAATGTATTACTTGAAAAGTGTCGGAGATTTTTAGGCAATGAGTACTCTGAAATTTTCAGTTTCTACTTAGAACTCTTAAAAATGCTTAATTTGTATGTATAATTTAAATCAATCACATTATTTTCTATAAAAACCTTTTCTAAAGGTTTTATATTCCACTTTATTTGTGTTTATTCTGATCACCATTTTGTTCAAGATCTGTTAACCCTTGAACAAAAGGTTAAGGGTCAAATCATGTCTGATGTTCTAATCAAACGTGATTTGAATATTCAATTTACATTCCAGACTTCAGTTAACAGGCCCTGTATCTGTGCAATTTAAAGTCCACAATCCTACTGTAAGGATTCGATTTCCTTACAGTAGATCTAATCAGATGATAGAAAATGTAGTTTAGGAGTCTGTGCATGCAGGGAACATTTACGGAAACCATAAACACGTGAATAACGCGTTTTATTCTTGCAAGAATTCACAATTTTCTTTAGCAAAAATGTGAACGCTTTGTACAGTAACCAAAGCAAATTCAATAAAAAAAGTATTTGAAGTAGTTTTAATGTTTTCTTAAAGAAAGAAAAAAAGTTGTCTTGGTATTGAGCTGAAGCTACGTTCATGGACTGAATTTCTTCTGTTCGACCGGCAGAATGAGAAGTTGAGAGGCTTCGCTCGAGGTCTGGAGCCAGAAAGGATCATCGGTGCCACAGACTCCACAGGAGAACTCATGTTCCTTATGAAATGGTTTGTCAACGCAAACTGAGACATTTTAGACGAAAAACTGACATCGCCGTGAGAAAAGCTTTTCCACCCCTGACGGATTTCTTTTGGTTTTGCTCATTTGTTTTTCGCCGCGTTCGGATCGTCAAATTTGAGTCATGCTTTTCATCCGCACTGTAAAAACCTTTTTGTCTTTGTGACATCAGTTAATTCAGTCTGTGGGTTTTTATAGGAAACACTCGGACGAGGCCGACCTGGTGCCAGCAAAAGAGGCCAACGTGAAGTGTCCTCAGGTGGTGATCTCCTTCTACGAAGAGAGGCTCACCTGGCACTCGTATCCCTCGGAGGACGAGAAAAAAGACGACAAGAACTAAGGCAGACGAGGTAGCAGGGCTGGGCAAGAGGAAGAACCTTTTAACTCCAGTGTGCTTTTGAAAGAGAGGGAGAGGAAAAAAAAGACCAGCAAGACCTTGTGGACTCATTTGTCGTTTTGGTGTAGTTTCACTCATCTGATTCTCCTTTTTATGTGGATGTAAATCTAAATATATATGCTTCAGATTTGCCTGAAAAGCCAGAGCAAAGGAAACAAAGCAGCGCAGCAGTTCATTTTCAGCAAACATTCCAGTCGTTTTTGCTTTGGAGATCGTCTCCGCTCTGCGTATCGTGCTGTCTTTCCCCAGCGTATGCTGCGTTCAGTGGCGAGGTGGACGTTTTCATTGTAATTGATCACCGGTATTTGAAAGGTATCGTTCAAAACCGACAGCAGTTGATGTTGGAGTGTTTTTCTTTTCTAAGACAACCACTGTGGGTTTGATTATTGGTTTGCTTTTCACTATGTAAACAAATGCAAATTTGCCTGAATTCATTTTTTTTTTAGGTGCATATCGGTTACAATATGCTGAATTTAAAAGTCGAGTATAATCTGTTTTATTTTTGAAAAAGTTTTGGGATGAAAAGAGCCAAACCAGGCAGGTAGGTTTTCCTCATTTTGGATTTCAAACTGACTGAAAAAAAGAATAATATAGTAACGTGAATAGTGACGTGACCTTATTTGATGTTCTACTTGTTTACAATCTGAGTTTGTTGTTTTTTTTTTTAATGATTTTTGGGCTCATTTAAGGGTGTGTATTGACTGCAGGAACCTGGGTAGTTTTCATTCTTTTCTTTGTTACAACTGGGGGCCATTTAGGTATAAAGTATGAACAAGTAGAAATGTACCACATAAAACCCACATGGTAGTGAATAAGTACAGCTAAGTACTAATCTGAGCCATCCGGGTGTGGTTATGTGATGGGAAGATGCTTTTTCTCTTTTTGTTGTTGAATATTTCCAGCATTCAGCCACCTCCCAGTTTAAATCTCAGCAGCTCATGTTTACATGAAATCGTCCCAACTGTGGTGAGTAGAATATTTGTGAAAACAAGATTCAAACCCAGTCACTCATAGAATGTCAATTTTACAATGCTAACATTCAAAAACATTGATAAAGTCAGCTAACCCCATTGAAAAGATTATTTGAATGACATTAATGAAGTGTGGTCTAAAGACAGGAAACAATTCAAAGCCCTTTTGTTATGGATTTAAACTTTCCATTAAAAACACTGAAACATTGTCAATGAAAGAATCCAATAGGATACACAGTGAAGACCTTGATTATTAATAATTCTTAGTTAATACGTGCTACTTTTGACATGAAACTCATTTTAGTTGTCTTTCAGAGTGTAACCACTCAGAGAGCAAATTCTGTTAACTTAATTGGTTGTAGGGTTATTGCTATAAACTGCTTTTTTCCCCCTGACATTAATTGATGTTTAATGATAAAAACACTGAAACGATCTCAGATTAGAGCTTTTTTTTGTGTCTAATTTCAGTGTTTGAATATTTGAAATTCAAACACTGAGTGTTCAACTCCCACTTTGTGCAAGTGGGAGTTGGAACAGATGAGAGAATGCAGGATTATTGTTCGTTGTACTGCATCTTCCAGTTTTATTATTTTATGAGAGCCTGTACAGCAGAGCAGTGAGCCTCTGCAATGTAGCAATGTAATTTACACCTCAGCGGGGAGGATGCCATAAAACTTTATGGAAAATATTTCGGGGGGCCGTTCCGGGTTGCGTAGTCCAAACACACCTTTAGCTGCTTTGCTCAAACTTGTTTGGTGTAAGCTTACAAATCATTCTGTGAATAATTTGTTCATTGTAATCTTTCTCGTGTCTTTCTTTGTTTTACTTGTCACTTTTGGAAAATAAAACCAATTTTTGTTACAAGACTGTTTCCAATCACTTTGATGGTTGCGGGGTGAGAGCCAATTCCTCAAGTGCCAGAGTGAGTCAATAATATATTATTTGATTATTTAAATGTATCAAATGCTTAAAGGAAAATTGATCAAACATACAGTAAAAAAAAAAAAAAAATGAAGATAGGTTCTTGTTATTGCAACTGCAGCCTCCAGCTTAAACTCATTTAACGAAGGTAAATGTGCAACATGGTGTAAATGTTGCAGCAATGACATGCATGAATATCCATCCTTCTATCCATACATCCATCGTCTTTATCTGCTTTCCAATGCAGTCAGGTGACAGACAGGTGGAAATACATGAGTTTTAATAGAAAATTAATCTTTTTAACATTAAATTGTATGTTAAAAGTATACATAATTTTTTCCCCCATGTTTTGCAGAGCATTGGTAGACATTTCCAACTAGCAACTGGTTACCCTGCACAGCAAATTCACTGCGGATCAATTAGACTGAAGTTACTGGAACTGCAGGCAGTTCTATCGGGTTCCTCGTCCAAACCCAGCAGGTTCCCCTCTTGCACAAGCTCTCCGAGCGCATCGCCCTCATGCGTGTCCACCGAGTTGGCAATTTCGCCCATCTGGTGTATCCAATTATCTATACATCCCCTCCCCCAACATCTTAATTTAAGACTCTCGCAGTAATAACTCAGATTTAAATTGTGGAGCCTCCACAGGATAAAGTTGCCATCGGCTGATATGAAAAGCATCTTTCAGTCAAGCATGATTAGTGCATGAGTCACAGGTGAAAATAAAAACACTTTATTAATCAATAAAAACAATTCTTGATTGCCAGCAAACATCCGGAAACTGGGAACTACAATCCAGACTCAAAGCAGAGAGTGCGACCGTTATGGAGACATTAGACAAACTACAGAAAAAAAACAGGAAAATATTTACAGAACAAGACAGACAAAAAAAAAAAAGAAAAAAAAAAGTGCACCAAGTAGTAGCAGTACTTAATAGTTGATGTTGCACTGGGTTACATTAGAGTGAATGTTAACCAGAGATTCATGCCTTAATATCACATTTAATAAAGACATTTCTCCTTTTGAACATTTTTTTTTTTCGGACATCATCTCAGTGTGTCGAGTTCGGCTTAGCCTCTTGTAATTATTTTCACCTAACTGCTAGCTGCAGGGGTAGGCTCTCCCCACCCCTTTTTTTTTTTTTCTTTTCTATTTTCACACAACACACGCACCGACAGACTTCATTCAAACAGACAAGTAATAGCACTTCTGCTTTGAGAACATTCCCTCCCTCCATGTTCTCAAAATCCTTTAAAGTGAAGATTAGTTTTAAAAGAAAGGCATTCAAATTTTAAGTGGCCTCAACACACACCGTCTACACTCACACTTATCTTTTACCTCTCAACGGGACTCGCGCTTCTCAAAAACACTCAAAATGCAGGATCTGTGGGACTAAAGCCGACTACCCGGCTTCACAGCAGTTAAATATTTGCTTCAAGTGCATTTCGGATGTGGAAAATCTGCAAATAAGTTAAAATAAATGGGGCACAGCAAACGATGCCCATGAGCCTGCATTGTTTTAATGCTTAAAATGAGGCATCCAGGGGGAAAAAAATCATAAAAAGTAACGATGACCAGTCAAATAATACCATCAAAATGTTCATCAGGAATTCAAAACATTGAAATTACTTATGAACTTCAGGGATTTATTTCAACTGTTTATATCAGTGAATTTAGACGATTACAGCCAATGAAAATCTTCATGTTCAGATTCTCCAAATTATTTGACTCAATTTGTCCCCTTCTCCTGAGCCTAATGAAAACATTTGACATGGCTTCTGGTTGAGTCCTATACGTGTGTGTGTGTGTGTGTGTGTATGGTAGCTCTCTGACTGTTGACTTCAGCCTTGTGAGGCGTTACCTCTGTACATTGTCCACCGTTTTCAATTTCAGTTTTTCCTTCCGCTAAACTTTCCGTTGATACGCTTACATACTGCACTGCTCCTTACTTAGGGTATTAACACAATGTAACCAATGACTGTGTGGTCCATGACCAGATCCCAACATAAGACTTCTGAATTGCAAAATGTAGTTGTTCTTATAAAATATTCAAATTATTTAAGGTTCAGAATTTTTGTTTTCATTTGTTGTAAATCATAATCATCAAAACTAACAGTTAATCAAAATAAACAGTTGAAATATCTCACTATCTATGTGGCAAATCTTTATAATGTATGATTGAAATTTAATTACTGAACTAAATGTCCTTTTTAATTCCATTTTAATTGCTGGAGCTGCGCCTATAAATGTAATCTGTGACAGCTGAAGTAGGACGAAATGGTACAGTACACTCTGGATCTCCAGACCTATTGCAGCTTGATGTGAAAGGTTTTATCAACACAGACGGTAGGGGGGGGGAGGAAAAAGGCTAGACCTATAACCCTGCTTATTCTACACATTATAAACAGTTAATAAGAGCCTTCCTAAATGCAGCCCCTGTATTTAAACCCGCAGCGAGGGAAGAGCGACAGAAACGGCAAAATGCATACCAAGCCAAGCCTTTTAAAAGACAAATTACAGTGCTATGTATAATTCATAAGGAACTTGATACATTTTGCAACGCGGTGCGCCTTGTCCCAGAAATATCTCTCGGCTCCTCCTGCAGGACTTCGTGGCCAGCTCTCCAACTCAGCCTCGGACTTCTAATTCAATCATCTGACTTCCACACGTCAAACCCGGCGTTTTTAGGGCCTTTTACGTTCAGGTGCCACCCAGAAATTGACTCAAAACCTAGACTTTGCAATACAAACCTACAATGTAAGAGTGCAGCGTTTGAGCATTTTGGACTTGTACGGATCAGGTGATCAGGCCCTACAACCTTTGGTTAGTATTGGTGTTAATGGCATTCTAAAACAATGTACTTCCTTTAGCCTTTGGTTTCTTGTCTCACAACTTCAGGTGCTGATCTTTGCATTAAGATCTACAACTTAAAAGCAATTCCTAAAAGTCTCCAGGTTGGGATGTGAGCTGATAGTCCTTTGAACCCTTTAATCCACAGGTATTCCAACCATGCATGTTAGCTTAGCTCGCCGACATCGGTCCATTCTTTCACCCGACAACGCCTCCATCCCTAGTGGTTTGGTTGCAAAAGGAACGAGGGCAGCTTTGTCTTCTTCTAGTAGCTCAGTTTTTGTCCTTCAAATCCCTCCCCTTTTCTGGTCTAAATAATGAAACATCGGTTCTCGAGCCAAGAGCTATTCCGCTTCAGAGTTGTTTCTAGGAAAAACGCAGGAAGAGAATGGAAGAGGAGAAACTAACCCAGGGAGGAGGAGTAAATGCCGTTTCTCTTCAACAGAATCTTCTTAACAGAAAAAAAAGGCATCTCTCTTGCATCTGCACAAATCTGACTGATTTAGCAAAGTGATAGAACAACCAGCAGTCTCTCTGCGCTCACTTCTTTTTGTCTTTCTGTTTTTTCTCAGGTTTTCTGCTCTGCTGCTGCGAGGTGGCTGGCCCGCCGCGGGGCGCGATCAGCACGCTGCCGTCGGCGCCGTACTGCAGGCAGTACTCGCTGGGGGGAAAGGGCCGGCCCTCTTCGTCCCGCAGCTGACTGAAAACCTCCTGGCACAGGCTCTGCATCTTCTGCTTCAGCTGCCGGATGGAGCGGATGAACTCCATCTTCTCCTTCAGCAGGCGGGCCTTGTCGCGCCGCAGGTCCTGCACGCCCTGCTCCAGGTTGATGATGGTCTCCAGCTTGCGCTTGCGGCAGTTCTGGGCGGCCATCTTGTTCTTGCCGCGCCGGCGGATGTCGCGGATGAGGGCGAGCTGGGCCTCGCTCAGGTGGTGCTTGGCCAGCAGCTCGTTGAACTCCTCCACGGGGAGGTTGACGATCTTGTCGTTGGAAAAGGGGATCTTCATGGCGCGGGCGCGGCGCTCGTCGCGACTTGAGTGCTTGTCGAGCAGGTCCTGAGAGGGCTGCAGCTTTTTGTCGCGGCTCACCTTCTTCCCGGCCGACAGGAGGAGGTCCGGGTGCTCGGGGAAGCTGGAGGAGAGCGGCACGTTGTAGGTGTGATTGTGGCTGATGCCGTCCAGCTGAGGGAGGCTGTTGAACTGGGAGAGGTCCTGGAAGCTCATGCGGCAGAGCTTGCTGTACTCGGGCTGGTAGCCGCCCACCGCGCCCTCCTCCGTCTCCGCGGCGGCCGCCTCGGAGTCGGTGCTGTACCCCACGGCGCCCTCCTCGGAGAAGTTGGCGGAGGTGGAGGAAGAAGAGGCAGCGGAGGAGCAGGAGGTCTCCGAGCTGCTCGGCGAGGCCGGGCTGCGGCTAGAGTCCAGCGAGAGGCCGGAGTCGGAGTCGAGCTCTTCCTCCAGCTGAGACGCCTGAGCCTGGCTGAAGCCCTCCTCCATGGCCAGGTCCAGCAGGCTGATTTCGTCCAGCATGGACTCCTCCAGTAGGGTAGTGAAGGGGTCCGGCAGGTTCGGCGTGGAAGTGACGTTGTTGCTGGAACTGTTGATGGGCGGCAGGAAGACCCCCGTCAGGTTAGTTGCTCCAAACGTGGAGTTGATGTTGGTGGAGTTGCCGGAGGAGAGCCTGAGCATGCTGGTCCGAGGCGTGGCGCTGACCGAGTCCAGCTGAGGGCTGAAGATTTGGGGGAAGTCCTGGCTGCAGCTGGGCAGGGAGGCCTGGTGGAGGCTGACGTCCTGGTTGATGGGCGTGGGACGCTCAGAGAGTCCGAAGGTCCCGGCAGCGGTCGGCTCCGTCGTGCCGTTGCTGGCGTTCTCGCTGTTGGAGGCGCTGTTGTTCACGTCCATCGCCTTCAGACAGAAACAACAGAAAAATGTACGTCCAAATCTTTGGCCAATTGGAACAAAGTAATGCAGTTGAAGGCACACAGAGGACCAGTTTTCTTTAAATAAAAACTATAAAATAGATTGATTCACTGTATCTATTTGATTTTATCAGCTAACTAATTAATTTTTAACAAATGACTGAAATGTACAAAATC